GAGATGGAACCCCTCCACTTTTCAGCACCACCCCACACCCACTGAAGCATCCCACTGCCAGCCTTCTCCTCCTTTGAGCAAAAGCAAAAGTAGCCTCACTCATCAGCTTTCCACCTACGAAACCACCTCCGCCAACTCCTCCCATGCCTACAAAATGACAGAAGGAGTTTGGATCAGTAGCTACTGCCTCCACACCGAAGGTTTTCCCAAGCTTCTGTACGCCACCATGCAGAGACTTGGTATCAAGAGCACCGTGAGTATGAAGGTCGTGAGTATGAAGAACATGGCACTGAGCGCTGTGAAGTCACCATCTACATCATGGAGAGTGAAGACTTCCCCGACATCGCCGAAGCCTGGAGCATGACTGCAGCCGGATTTTGCTTCACCGACACCTACAAAGCTGTCGCCCACCAAGCCCCGCAACACCTATGCCGGATCTATGAAGAGCCCATTGCCAGTACACCCATGAGTTTCTTTTCGCCCCGAGAGAAGAACCGCCCAGCCTGGATCGCCCGCATGGATGCCCTGCAAGGACAAGAAGATAGTATGAGGGAGAAAGATTAGTTACAAGTTTTAGCTAGAGATTAAAAAGAGAGATTATAGTTCTTCAACCATTCAAAATTAAATTTCAAACAGCATTTTGAAACATCAAATGACTTCAAATGGAAATGTTGTAAACAACAAAGTTTTATAACTTTTCAAGATCTACTTCTTTTATTTTGATCATTTCTCCATCTGAGGTCGTTTAAAAAATTCAAATTTTATACTTAATTTTTAATATTCGGCGTCTATTTATAGTGACGCTAGGTTATGAAAACCGCCACTATAAATATATTTCTACTGGTTGTTTGCTTAAGGCTACCGCCAGTAAAAATTGGCAGTAAACTTAAGAAAACAGCCAGTAAAAATGAATTTACACTCGCGGTTCATGATCTGGACCCATAGTTTTATTTCTAGTGGCGTGTACTCTTTTCTGAACCGTCAGTGAAAAAAAAGTAACGCCAAGAGAAAGCACTAGTGTACGACAAATAAAGCTTTCTCATCAATTGTCCAATATGACTAGACCATGATTGTGTGCTGACGTAGAGCATTTGCATCGGGCTTTCCAGTTTCCACAATAGTTACTAGTTAGTGGTGTGGTGTTCATTAGATGTGTGCCAAGGAGGGAATTTATTGAAGCCCCTTTTGTTTCCGGCGCGTCTATGACCCATAGAAGCCATTAATCCCACCAATCGCGACGTCCTCCAGTACGCGAGTTGAGGCCCGCGATTTGGAAAACGCCCACTCGTGTTCCCTGTCTGCCTCTTCCTCCTATCCCATGTGCTCACCCCTCCTCGTGTGTGGCCGTCGCACCACCGCTCCATCCCCACCGTCTCCCTCCACCTTGAGCGCCTCCCTTCGGCCCGACTGCCGCCTCCCCTAGCCTAGATCCGACAGCGGCGGGTAGGTCCCTGCTGGATCTAGCACCCTCCCACCGGCGGCCTCCATGAACACACCCCTTCCCACCGCCGGCTCTCCCTCTCCCACTGCAAGGCTCCAGAGCTCTAGGACACTAGATCTCCACGCCCTCTAAGCTCCTGCGCGGCCGCCTAGAGCTTAGCAGCTTGGGAACGGGAACATGGCTCACGTTCCCGTTCCCATGTTCTACGTTCTGGGAACGTCTACGTTCCGGGAACTCGAATGTTCCCGTTCCCATGTTATATAATGATATCCGAAGTTCCCGTTCCCTTTCCCGTTCTGAAAACAGGAACATAGCTGCTAAGGCCTAAAGCACGCCTCCCTCTGGACCCCGGCCCGCCTCCACCATGGTCGGAATCGGCTTAGCCTTGCCACCCCCTGCGTCGATTTTGAAGAAGGACTAGGATAGAAATAAAAACTTTTATCCAGGTTCAGTTCCAAGGCTATAGACTCACAAATAGTGCTACACATTTTGAGAAAAGTTCAGGTTCCAGTGTCCTTTCTTTTTCTGTTAATCTTTTTCTTTTATATGCATAAATCAGTGTTATTTGGACTATTATACATTGCATCTTACTGGAACCATATTTCTATCTGAAACTTTAAAAATATTGCCATCATTGCCTTCAGATCATCGTAAGAACCATCATTGTAACGAACCAAAAGAGGTATCATGGTACATAGGTCCTTTTACATCTAGGACAGATAATCTATCAGAAATAATTATGACAACCAAACGCCCAGCTTATTAAGACAACTGATTCTCCATATGGTGGCATATTAGATAATCGTGCTCAGCTTATAAGCGAGACTCGGAAAAGCTGCGGAGGCATGCACCAGCACTGGGTGCGCTTATTATAGCGCCGCCGCTGCTGCAGCAGGAGGGATGTCTTGAGTAGCTACAGTACTGAATAGGGAAAAATTGCAACCACAGCGGCAGCCACAAACACAAACAGACAGCCGATCAGTGCCAGTATTGACCCGTCCATGTATTTTTTTTAAGAAAAACATAGGTGCTCCCAGCTTTTGAAGTCATGCTGCAACAAAATGGTATATAAATATATTTCGAGTAAACAGGAGAGGCCGAGGCCCCTACTGAAATGGTATATAAATATTGACATGTCGTCACCTATGAATGAAGCCAACCCTAATTAAAAAGTTTGTGGACGGCGAAAACGGTCTGTTGCCTCGCCGTCGGGCGCACACGCAAGCAAGCCGAGAGAAACCGCGTGGAGTAGATCCCGAGCTCTCCCGGGCTTAGAGAAACACCGGACTAGATGGTCGTGACCTAGGGCGTACCGGTTAATTTGACCCTACAATTGATAAGGAGAGAAAATTGATCAGTAATTTAAGGTGAAACATGCCGGTGGTTATTCCAGATAGTTCTAAATGTGCGGCTAAATAGCCGATGAGATAAGGCTATCGACTAGAGAGTCGATATCCAGCATGTTCATGATACATGATAAGTAAAATAAGTATATCGGCAATTATCAGTTATTCAATCGTATAGATCTTAAGAGCCGATGATCATAAGAGCATGTAAAGGTGTGATGGATAAACGTGAAAGCATCTTTATTAATTGAGAAACATACTAACTTTTGACCAGCATAAAAACGAGTGCAAATACATGAATAGCAAGTGTATTCTCAATAAGTAGGCCATCGGCTAAAACAGCCGATTTCCGTGGAAGTAAGCTCATAACATGCAAACACTCAATAATTAAACATGGACAGATCCATAAACCTATCAGATCTAACCTATTATCTCTAATAGTGGGGTTCGATCGGATCGATGACAGCCATAATAAAGATAACATATTAAACCTTCAAACAATACAAGTCTATTCATATTTAACGGAATCATGAAAACATGTTACGATAGTGAAAGCACGAGCGATCGGCTAAATAGCCGATGCGAACATAGCATGCAACCAGAGGCTTGTTTGACCATAAGCAAGCCTTACTACTTGATAGTTTTCAATCTATAGTGCTAACAGTGGGGGTCGACTGGATCGATGACAACCATAATAGCAGTTCTAGACCAGATCTCATCAACTAGCAAGCTTACTTAAGATCAAACACACCCTGACCACGTGCTATCTTCGATCAAGATTGAGACAAAATGAATGATCTAGCCAAAACCATCGTCAAAGTGAGATCTAAGCAGGAAAAAGCAACAAGACGATGATTTAAAGAGATATAAAGCCGATCTGTTTCAATCTTAATCAGGTAAAGGGTGATATTGTTACAAATAGAAAGAATACTAATTATAATAAGATCGATAACTAGCAAATCTATTAAAAACAGCAAGGAAACCCTACCAATATTAATAGACTTAATCGATAACTAATCCGTATCAAAATTTGTATGAGATCAAACCGAACCGATGCAACCTTACAAATTTTGATAAGAATCAAGGGGAGCCTTTTATCAGAGATGATAAGAGATTCGAGCCGGACCTATGCAACCTTACAATAACTGATAATAACTAACTTATACAAAGCTTACAAGAGGTTGAGCTAGACCGATGCAACCTTATAAATAAAGTATAAGTCGTGACATATACTCACAAACAAACAAGAGGTCGGACCTAACCGATGCAGCTCTGCTTGTTCGAAGAACTCGTCGAGATCTACTCTACTCCTACTTCTAAGGGGTGATGGTTTAAGCCGAAAAGTAAAGGTACTGGTGTGATTGATCGATGAGAGATGTCTATTACAATAGTCAGGGTCTAATATTTATACCCGAGGCTTGACTACGAGTCCTGGTCGAACAAGACTAGTTTCAAAATTCATAAAAAAGATGAACATTCTAAATTAAGATAACTTGGACTCCAATCTTTCTCTTCTACAGAGTCCACCGTGCTTTTCTGCTCCAGGTTGCCGTCATCTTCTGTTCGCACAGCCCATTGTTGAAACGGCGGCATCATGGAATTCAGCCGATCCTGATGCCCTTTTGGCTAGCTAATCCTGAAGACACTACAGTTTTCCCTAACAAATAATGAAATCCAAGGGGGCTACACTGACCCAAATTTTGGTGTCAACAAAGTTTCTAGGCCCACTCCCTACTTGTGTACGAGTTTATTGATGTTTTATTACCACTTATGTACAAGAAGTAAATTTAAATAAATAACATTTTTGCTACAAAATTTTAGCCACTTGTGGCATTCCCAGTTCTACACTTCTAGCCTCATCACTTTCTTTTAGAAAAAAATTGCATGTGGTGCCATTTCATATTTTATATATGAAATTGTGTTTCAAAAACTGGAAGTTATTTGTCGCGGAATTACACCAATGATGCTGCTAGCTACCTTCTCACACTCATACATAAATAGAACTGCAATAATAGTATTTGTTGGTATATATAGTCATTAGAATTTAATAAGCATGCTTGCATTCGCTACGACTAGAGATTCGCGTAATACAACAGTGTCTTCAATATGCACCATCGTGATTGATGATAGATAGTAGCTAATCATCCTACTTGATGATAGAATGGAACACGATGGTGATGAAACACTGATAGGTTCCTTATTTCCCAACCCCACTAGTATGGCAGTAGGCCCTCGCAACACTTGCGTTTTCTTGAGTGCTTTTGCTGAACCTCTTTGTCGCATGTTGTACTGTCTTCCACCGCCAGAACCATTTCCCTCCTGTCCTCATCCTCCACTGTACTGTACTCCCTAAATCTCTCGATTTGTAGCGTAGGATGTCCCGGATGGATGTTGGCTGTGTTCCTGATGGCAGCTTCTGCAGCCTCTACTCTGCTTCTAGTGGCCATGTAACAGTCAATTGTGGCGGTGATATGCTCCAGGTTTGCAAGGTGTACAAAGTTGAGCTCAAAACCTGTCTTGGATTCTGTTTCCTTTGCTCTAAAATGAAGCCGTAAACTTCGAAGCCTTGGCATAGCTTCCTGTTCAGCCACCATCCTCAGCCCATCTTCCCCATAGGACCTGAAGATAAACTCCTTAAGGTAACAGAACTGCTGGCTGCCGATACTAAGCCTTTCAGTAGGTGCTTCAAGTGAGGTCAGTATGGCATAGAGCAGCGTTGGAATGGCTCCAAGGATACAGAGATCTTCCTGTTTGATGCAGGTAACACGGATATCAAGATGGGCAAGATTCACTAGACACTGCATTCCCTGTGGAATCCTACTAAGATAACTCTGGTTGCACAGCTTTCGCAGAAATGTAGCATTGCAGCACAATAGATCCATCAGTCTACTTGTCGAGTAATCATTAGTGTCAATCTCAAGTGACTGAAGACCGTGTTTACCCAACACAGTGAGAGATGATTCCAAAGCTTCTTGATACTTCCACATGCCATGATCACCAAGTTCACTGCTGCCGTGCAGTCTTATGTGAAGGACCCTTAAATTAGTCAAACGCCTGAGCTGCTCCAGAAATTTCACAGAGCCATACGAATAAGCATGTGACAGCATGCGTAACGATTGCAGGTTGCCAATCTGATCTGGCAGTTCTATGTTAAAATCAACTAGTAGACGCACCAGATTTTTCAAATTGCCTATGGTTGGGGGTAATTTGTCAATTTTGCTGCCATGTATGTCCAGTGTCTGTAAATACTGCAGGCCTCCAATGGTCTCTGGAAGTTCAGTAATACTATGACAACCTATTTCCAGGTACTTCAATTGCAAAGAGCTCCCAATACTTTTAATGTGGTGGTTACTAATACCAAGGTTGGCACAAGTACATCGTAGAACCAATACTCTTAAAGAATGAAATATTGGCAGATGAGGGGCTTCTTTATTTGCCACGTGGAACCTAATCAGCGAGCGAACCTGTGAGCACTTGTTCATAATCTCCTGCAGTACATCATTTTCCAAAAAGCTGGATAGGAGAGAGAGCCGGCGAATCTTGTTAGCGGAACATTTAAACACCTCCCCCTCTACCACTGTGACAAAGTTCTGCTCTGTGGAAAGTGAAATGATAAGATCAAGCACCATATCATGGAGTCGGCAGGCTCTAGCCATCCCATCATACATTATATCAATATGTTGAATCAAGCTTCTGTTGACAAGATCATTAAAGTAGTTCTCTCCTGTTTGGTCCAATGTTTGTCCAATTTCATTTGTGATGAACCCCTCAGCTATCCATCTCCATATTAGCTTCTCTCTTGCAATCTTACAGTCCTCAGGAAATATACAAAGATACAAGAAGCAGGACTTCAGATGATGTGGAAGATCATAGTAGCTAAGCAGGAGTATATCTCGAACTAGTTGTGAATGAAGTCCAGAAACCATAGAATCTCGAACTTGCTCCCATTGGTCTATATCATTTGATCTGTTAGCTAACAAACTAGCTACTGTGTTTATAGCTAGTGGCAGACCATGGCATCTTTTTATTATTGACAGAGAGACTTCTTCTAGATGAGGCGGGCAGGAGGTCTGCCTTTGAAAAACTCTGTTATAAAACAGCATTGAGGAGTCCTGGTTACTCAGAGGCTGAATGTTGTGAATATATCCTTCATAACTTGAGCAGCATGATCTGGCTACATCAGAATGTCTTGTAGTAGTAATTATTCTACTGCGTAATTTATTCTCAGGTAAAGCAGACTTCACAAATTCCCAGGCGATTGTGCTCCAGATATCATCAACAATGATTAAGTACCTATTTGAATGGCAATGGCATTAGTTTCACAAGATCAAGTAACAAATTTCCATTGCTAGTATATATGATTGTATAGACACTTAGTTAGTGCAGACCCACAACAGAATTTTAATAGATATACCACTACCTACTTATTGTAAACATTGATCATAAATTATTAAATAAATTTTATAAAGTTAGTGTTTCTGAAATATATTATTTGCAGTATACCTTCCTGCAAGCACAAACAATTGTACTGTCTTTTGTATAGACTTGGTTGTGGTAGGTAAAGAGAGCAGCAGACTGATGAGGTCCTTACGTAATCCGATAATATATACAACCCCCCCTTCCCCCACACACCCTTTCTTTTTTCTGTTCATATCATAATATTGGATATTTCTATCGAAGTAGACATGGGTATTTTTATGCTTACCTTTTATCTTGTAGATATGCTCTGACATTATTTATGAGCTGCCGCTCATCGTCTTCTGATGCATGAGTCTTACTACTACCCAGTTCTGTAAGCAGATCACGGAGTATCTTCTTTATGATGGGACTTCGCGAAACTGGTACAAAAGCTGTACAATCAAATTGACTCTTAATTTTGCGATACACTTGGTTCGCGAGAGTTGTTTTGCCGAGGCCTCCAAAACCCACAATAGACACCACTCTAAGCTGTTGTGTCGAGTCGTCTTTCATCAACCAATCCATGAGATTCTGCATAGGACCGTCGATACCAACAAGTTTCTCTGCTTCCACATACAGCGCTGGCAATCGTGGATCAATCTCCACTTTGCCCGCGGTGGAGATCGATTCGTCGTACTTGTATCTCAAGCGACGCTCACTCTCCTCAACCACACGAGCCTTGAGCTCGTGAATCTGGTTAGCCATCTGGAAGCCTGACCATAGCTTTTTAACCTTACCAATTATCTTCTTAACAAAATTACCTGCCTTGGCGGCGTCGCCATGGTTGAGCTTCTGCATAAACATGTCAATGCAATCTTCGATATCATAGCTTAGTTCCCGTATGTTGTCCCTCCAAACCTGTACCTGCACGTCAAGTTTCTCCGCTGCTGCCAGCTTCTCAAGCAGGGCGTTCATACTGCTGAGCTCGTTCCTCAGAAAAGCAATGTCGGACTTGGTGACTCCAAGGAGCTCATACTCCCCCTCAACCATTGCAGAGAGCTTGGCGAGAAGGGAGTTCATCACCCCTGTTGAAGCACTCGCTAGTGCCCCATCCATCTTCCATACGACGAACAATTCTTGGCTTGCTCCGTCAATTGTCCGCCGTGAGGCAGTCAGCACTCAGCAGGGATGGATCTCACCCTGGCTGCTACGACCACCGGATCGAGTTGGAGAACTGCTTGAGGCTCCTTGCAAAAGAACTGCTTTCTGTGTTGTTGCTTTCCGGATCTGTGACGTCTCTGCAAATTGAGAAGCTGGGATTGGGATGTAAATTGCAAGGGAACGGTTTAGTATATGGTTGTGAACTTTCACCGACAGTGTGTTCTAGGCTGCTGCAATAATGGAGAAGCTTGGCGGCAGGCAGTTTCCAGCGAGACTAGTCCCGGAGACTGGACCACGGCAGGACAAGCTTGCGTCGAGAAATTCTGAAATTGAACGGCAATAGCATTCAATAAAATACATAGTACAACTCCTATATATGAGGACAAGAGAAGCTTGACCAACCCGTTCCCATCGTTGACTGGCTGGGCCATTTACGCGTTCCTGTGCAGACGTGTTGAACTGTTGGTCCCTGATCAGTGGGCCTGTTTAGATTCCAAAAAATTTTACGCAGTACCCGTCATATCGAATCTTGCGGCACATGCATGGAATACTAAATGTAGACGAAAAAAAAACTAATTGCACAGTTGGGTGAGAAATCGTGAGACGAAACTTTTAAACCTAATTAGTCCATAATTAGACACTAATTATCAAATACAAACGAAATACTACAGTGAGCCAAAATCCAAAAATTTTTGGATCTCAACGGGGCCTCAGTCTAGTACTCCTTGACAGCGAAATCATCGGAGTTGAGCGCCACTGCTAGTCTGCTACCACGTATGCTGTTGGAGAGACGGTGGTGAAAGATTTTTTTTGGCCTGTTTGCTGTGCTGCAGCAGCCAGTGTTCACCACCCATTCAGTTACAGTATTCCTTCACTAGAAACCAAAGAGGAGCAGTAGCTTAAAGCCAGCCAAACAAACAGACCTAAATGTTCGCTTCTCTTGTAATCCATATTTTTTAGCTTGTTTTTTCAGTCGAAATAGTATTTTTCTCTCATAACAAATCAGTCGGAACAGTGTTTCGATTTGTTTTTTCAGCGAAGCGAACGGGGCCAAAACGATCCCCAGGGTTCAAAATTTGGGCGAAATTTTGGCCGAATTTCACGATATTTGGTAATTTCGGTGGTGGCAGAAAGAAAACTCCGAAATTTTTTAATACACTAATACATGTGCTATATAACTCTAATCTTATATTTTTCTATTGTTTATATTACATATTCTTCTATTTAATAGATATGTAGTCATAAATCATACTAATATTTGTTTAAATCCAAATTTTTTTAGAAAAAACATACTTCATGTGCTAATCTCTAAAAAAAATTCAACGAAATTTCGGTCGAATTTCACGAAATTCGGTAATTTCGGTGGTGGCCGAAATTTTGGCAATACCGAAATTAAAAACCTTGACGACCCCATTTGATTAGGATAATCAGACTTGCATCGATCGGAAGCACCTAGCAGGAGAAGGGAGTACGGTGGTGTTTGGATCACTCGTCCAACAAAACTTTAATCCTGCTGAGCTGTTTGATACGTGAGCTAAACTTTAGTCCTCCAATCTACAATGACTGATTTACCATCATTTAATTATCCATGTACAGCCATACATGCGAGCGGCAACTAGTATGGGACGTCCCGCGCCCGCCCCGAGGGAATATAGCCAAAAGATTTTAACTCAGTTTTTACTTATTTGCTCACTTTTAGTCCCCCTGTTTGGAGGCTAAAAGTGCAGCAGTAAAGTTTTGTGATGGGATCGCCTATATATCTTATCTGAAGTAGCAGCAGTATTTCTTCTGTCCGGAGCCAATACACCTCTTACCGTCCTACGTACGGCAGGCAACGGGGCAAGGGTCAACGCCGGCAAGCGAGCGGTCGAGAGCACGCATACAAGTCGACGATGGACGCGGACGCCCGTGTCCGCGGTCGGCGGCCGGCCCCTGCTGCCGAGGGCAACCGCGCGGTCGGGGTCTCGGGGAGGGGGACGTGCACGGGAGGGCAGGCCATTCGGGCGAGCGGGCCGGTGACGAACAGGATGCCGTCATATGCCGTGGATGGAGATGGACAGGGACAGCGCGGCCGCGATCCGCTGTGGAGGCCGGTGCGGGCGGCATCGGCAAGCATGCATCCGCTTTGCCGAATGATCCCAGCATGCTCAGTAGTCGCTCCAACTGTGTCTTGTTGCTGTACCTGTACGTGTACCGCTTGTTTTGCAGCTTCGGCGAGTATCTCCCGCTGGAGATCGTAGAGACACTGTAGCTGCACTATTTTCGCCTGGTTTAGATTGCAAATTTTTACAACATGAACACTGTAGCACGTTTCGTTTGTATTTGACAAACTTTGTCCGATCATGGACTAACTAGGCTCAAAAGATCCATCTCGTGATTTACAACCAAACTGTGTAATTAGTTATTTTTTTTATCTATATTTAATACTTCATGCATACGTTCAAAAATTGATGTGGTGGAAAGAGAGTGAAAAAACTTAAAATTTGGAGACAATCTAAATGAGGCCCTAGTCAGCAAAGGTTTGGTTACTCTCCTCACATCAGGACTGAGCGAGGAGACTTTCGACGCCACTTGTTGTCCTACACGACATGAGTACAGGCAATCCCGGGACATTTACATACATTCAAAGAGACATTCGCATACATGGGGAAGGTTTATGCTTTCATTAGACATAAACGACATCAAAGTCTTTGGTCTAAAAAAATACATTGAGGAATAGCATAGGAGTTCAACCGCTATTAGTAGTATCCAATTGTACCAAGTACTATTTATATTAGCTTCTGATCAAATACTACCTTTCTTGCTCGTATCTAATAGTACTTATTAGGGAGAATTGGTTCTGTAGCATCAAAAGATCATAAGAATCGAAAAATACCATTGAAAAAGCTCCGTCACATGAAATACCATCGAAAGATGTAAGCGTTAACCGAAATTAGCATTCCATCACGTTCAGTCAATTTTGGGGTAACGGCCGTCATCTCCACCCGCACGAGCATGCGCTGTGATGCGCCCTTCTTCCTCCTCCGTCCATTTGCTGCCCATGCTCGCTTGTTGTGAGCAGTGTCGCCTCACGCTCCACCGCCCACACGCCTGAGAGCACCATGCACACCGCCATCCACATGTCGTCTCATGAGAGCTAGAGGTCGCCGGAGTCGAGGAACCACGTGGTACACCAGGGATGCTATGTTTGCACGCTGCTTACTCGCTCCAGCTCCTCCAACCCCATCCCTCCTTCCCCGTGGCGCCACCCGCTCTTGCTCATGCTCATGCTCCCCGCCTTCTTCCTCCTCCTCCCAAGAACCAAAGACCAGAGGCTCCATCCACCAGCTGCCCTATCCCCAGCTACTTCCCGTTCCACCCCGCCACTCAACCACGCGGCTGACCATGACGAAGATGGCGCCTCCGATGATGCCCTCTTGGCGCTCCTCCGCGCCCATGACACCGATGCCGCCTCTGACCTCTTCTCCTCAAGCCTTCCCGCCCTCCCTTCCTCCCCCACCACGCCCTCTCGCCTCCTCAGCAGCTCTCCTTCAATTCCAACGGCCCCGACACGTTCTCCCCGTCGCCCGCCTCCTCCAGAGCCTCCGCGCGCCCATGGCCGCCTCGACCTCCTCGACACCAACTCCCTCTCCCTAGCGGCGGCCGCCGCCTTCCCCGCCTCCCATGACGCCTCGCCTCACCCACTCCTCCTCCTCTACATGCTCGTCAGGCCTCCTCCCGACCAAACACGCAGCACCACCGCCGTCGCCCGCCTCACTCCGCCCACCAAGGTGCTCTGCCTCTTCGACGCCATCCTCCGCCACCTCTGCTGCGCGCCACTAGAGCTCGTCTACCCTCCCTGCCTCCCGACGCGCCAATTCATTCAACGCAGCTTTCAGCGCTTTCTTGCCACGACGCCGAGGATCGCCATCGATTCTAGCAAATTGTTCGACGCAATGAGCGAATGGAGCGCCACCGCCGATCGCGCTCACCTACAACATCGTCGATGTGCGAGCGCACCGACCGAAAGGACCTCGTCGCGCGTGTGCTTGAGCGCATGCTCTCCTCCAGCCTCGCCCCCTGCGCCACCATTTTCCACTCCCTCGTCGCCTCGTTCGTCGGCTTCGGTGACATCACCACGGCGGAGAGGATCGTGCAGGCGATGCGGGAAGAGCGCAAAACATATGTTAATCGCTTCGGGGCTGTCGCTATGGATTGCGATGGTGCGACGACATCGAGGAGGGTATCGCGCTCTTTGGATGACATGGTTGCCGGGCCAAACAGGGACGGGGCTCGGATGAGGTGCCGCGCTCCCCAAAGCTTATCCGCCAACGCTAGGGTGTACACCACGTTGATGAAGGGATACATGAACGCGAGCCGCATCGACGATGTCGGCGTGGCCGTGCTGCTGCAGCATGATCGCGGCAAGAGGCGCTGACGGTACCCGCAAGCAAGCCGGACCATGTGACTTACATGACGGTGATATCGGTAGCTTGTTGATGCGGGCGATGTGGTGCGCAAGCATCGCGCCGTCTTGGGCAAGATGGCCTCGGCCGGAGTTCCACCAACCGTGTCACCTACAACGTCCCGCTCAAAGGGTACCGCCAAGCATCGCAGATCGGCAAAGCCGGGGAGCTCTTTGAGGAGATGGTGACGGACGCCGGCATCCACCCGTCGTGGTGACATACGACACCCTCATGGATGGGTGCGTGCTCGGCGACGACGGTCTTGCGGGCGCGCTAGCCTTCTTCAACGAGATGCGGTCATGGGGCATTGTGTCGTCCACGGTGAGCTACACGACGTTGATGAAGGTGTTCGCTGTGTCGGGGCAGCCCAAGGTGGCGCACAAGGTGTTCGAGGAGATGGAGCGGGACCCTAGGGTGACGGTGGACGGCGGCGTGGAACATGCTCGTGGAGAATCTACCGTCACCGGGCTGGTGGAGACAAATGGGTGTGGTAGGGAGGATGAAGGAACGTGGCATGCAGCCGGATGTGGCGACGTACGGTAGCCTGGCGAAGGGCATCGCGATGGCGCGCAAGCCAGAGGAGGCGCTGGTGCTCTGGAATGAGGTGAAGGAGCGGTGCCTGGAGGAGGCCGACGAGGAGCTGCTGGGGGCGCTGGCGGACGTGTGCGTGAGGGCGGCCTTCTTCAAGAAGGCGCTGGAGACTCGGAGAAGGAGGGATGGGGTTGGAGGAGCTGCTGGAACATGCCCGTGCGGGTGGAGATGACGGCCGTTACCCCAAAATTGACTGAACGTGATGAAATGCTAATTTCGGTTAACGCTTACATCTTTCGATGGTATTTCACGTGACGGAGCTTTTTCAGTGGTATTTTCTGATTCTCGTGGTCTTTTGATGCTACAGAACCAATTCTCCCTACTTATTAACGTGCATCCACTTTGTCGCTGAACATTTGTCCCTTTAATCACTGGACTTGCACCTATACGGTCCGCCCATCGGTCGCTAAGCACCGTACGACAAATCCAGCCAATTAATTTCAGGAATGCTAAACACCACACGGGTGTTTTAGCACCAATAAATACACGATTTTTTTTCCGTGTCTCTAACATGAGGCTCTGACTGACTCCTCCCCTCCGCGCTCCCGTCCTCCCCTCCGCGTGCTCTCTCTCTCTCTCACTGGCAACGAGACCGGCGAGCTCCTCCCGGTGCCCACGCCTCCTCGCGCCCAGGCGACGGCGCCGCGCGTAGCCTCCGGCCGGACCGGACCTCTATCGCCGCCACCAGGCCAGACCTCCGCCGCCGCCCTCAGGCTGGACCTTCGCTGCCGCCTCCAAGCCGGACCTCCGCCGCCGCCCCCGCGGCACGGCCGTGTCGTGCCCGCTGTGCCGCGATTTGTTGTCATCTATGTCGACACAGCCGCGATTTGTCCTTGTCCTTCCATAGAAAAAAATTATTTCCTGTAATCTGTGCCAACGAAGAAGATAAACAGTGCCCAGCGGCCGGCTGAAGGTAGACGATAAATAGTGCGCAGCGGCTGGCTGAAGGTAGAAGATCAACAATGCATGCGGGCTGCTGGAGGTAGAAGATGAATAGTGCTAGAAAATTCAGGCGTGGAGTTAGGTAAAACACACAAGCGTCAAACAAAGAGACTCATTAATTTCTACGCGTTCGCAGCTTTCCCGTGTTGCCGGCAGTAGCGCACGCGGATGGACAGCACGCGAAGGCAAGCCAATCGCGTACGGTCCACCTCATCCACGTGTGCATGTAGTGTTTTTCAATGAAATAAAAAAAGTTATAACTCCTAAACTAAACATTCAAATTCAATTCTGATTACACCATCGGATTTCTTGCAATAAATCCTTCAAAATAAGATCCCACATGGATATATTTATATAAAATTTTATTAACTAACATTTATATTATAAAGATAGAACATTTTCTTTTATTTAGCATAGACGATGTTCTAGGTTCAGAAAACAATATTCCGTCTTCGTAAGAAAAATATTCTCGTTTAGAGAAACAATATTTCTCATGAAATTGCTATTATAATATACATAAAAATAATAATAATAACAAAAACGATGAAATATATAAGTAGTAAATAAATAAATACATACATAAATAAAAAATCTACAGCAAAGCATAAGAAAAAAAATAAAAACACGTGATAGAGAAAAATTTAAGAACATCACATGGATACTTTTCAAACATCTTAAAATATACTGCAAAACATCATATTTATACTAAGTGAACATCACTAAATACATCATAGAACTTCACTAAATACATTGTAGTACATCGCATATATATTACGTGAACATCAATAAATACATCGTAGAACATCACATGTATACTAAGTGAACATAAAAAAACATCGTAGAACTACATAAACATCGTAAAATACATCATAGAACATCACATGTATATTACGCGAACATCACAAAATACATCATAGAGCATCACATGTATACCACATGAACATAAAAAAACATCGTAGAACATCACATGTATAACACGTGAACATCACAAAAAAATCATAGAACATCACATGTATACTACATTAATAGAACATGACATTATATACCATGTGAACAAAAAAAAACATCATATCTATACTACATGAACATAACATCTCATGAAATATAGAAATAAAAAAATAAACATGAAAAAATAATTAAGTAAGATAGAATAGAAAATAAAAAAATCTATACAAGACAAGGAAAACGAAAGAAATACAAAAAATAAAATATAAAAATAAAATAAAATCAAACAAACAAACAAAATAATTAATTATAGTAAAAACAAAAAAAATATAAATAATAATATAAAAATGAAAAGAATATTGAAAAATCACATGGAACAAAAAAATAAACAAAAAAAATAAATTGAAGAAAGGAAATAAAAAATAATAAGAAAAGGGAAGAAAAAAGAAAGAAAAGAAACATAAAAAATTAAAATGAAAAGAATAATAAAAATCACATAAAACAAAAATAAAATATAAATAAAAAATTAAACACAAAATGAAAAAAGAAAAAGAATTAGACACGAAATGAAAAAAGAAAAGGAAAAAGAAAAGAAAAGAAAAAGAAAGAAAAAAAGAAAATATACAATATAAGAAAACGTACGTACCTGGAGTCCTGGACGCTGCTCTCCTAGGCCTCCTTTAGTTTGCAAAAATTTTGACGAAATGGTATTGTGTTACTTTTGTTATTATTTGGCAATTAGTATCCAATCATAATTTAATTAGGCTTAAAAGATTCGTCTCGTGAATTTCATCTAAACTGTGTAATTAGTTTTATTTTTTATTTATATTTAATGCTTCATGCATGCGTCTAAAGATTCGATGTGACGGGGAATCTCGAAAATTTTTGCAAAATGAGGTGGAACAGGTTCCTAGTCGGAAATCCCGCGACCACACGGCACTCGGCCGTACATATGGGCTGCGCGTGGGTCTCGCTGCAGCGTCGTAGAAGCCAGCAGTGCGCGGGAATAATTTGCGCGGGCGCCGGCCAACCGTTCAGCGTGACTGCCGTCCGGCCGTTCGGACGGGAAGAATCCCGGAATACAATGGCATGCATGCATGACGCTTAATTAACTCTATGTTGAAAAACATATCACAGAAACAAGATTAATTGGGTAATATAAACTCACCATGCATGCTTTTTGGGATCACGAGATCCATCAGGCTTCATGCTCCAGAAGAGCAATGCATCTCCCATTCTGGGTTTAACAGATATCCCCCTCTTTGCCGACGGTGCGCTGCCTTTCACGGTCGCGTTAGGGAACACAGTCTCACCACCCTCTTCGACATCCGAGCTTCATCATAAAAGAAAAATATCACCATAAGGAAAACGCCATCCTCACATTTTTGATTTAGTCACCAATAATAATACTTACAGATACATGAGAAAAGTCGCTTGGTGGTGGAAGTACGGTCGGTGTAGTCAAAGTGAGGCTCGAACTTTCTGCCCAACTGCATAGTGGAGAACTTGAAGGCCCTCTCCATTCTCTACAAAAGTAGAGCGGCATATGAGATTGATTATACAATGGATTATTATAATCAAACATCTTAATTACCATAATCCCTAGAAGATCGATTGTCCAACTTATCAAACTAAAAAGGATAAAATAGAAATTTCTCACTTTAACCCACCATAATCAATCATCATATTATTTTGAGCCAAACACTCTGATTATTATAATTCATAATCCTAACTATAATATCTTATGCATAATCCTGATTATAATAATCCATTCGTGATCTAGACAGGCCCATAGCTATCAAACAACACCATCCAAACATCAAACGTAGTGAGCATACTAAATATTTTTTCCATGGAATAGTAGGAAAACACATCAACTTTAAAATCCATGGTAGGTACTAATAAAGCACTGATACCTCCACACTACGTAAAAACGCTTTGTAGCAACGGGACAGTTTTTTTTGTAGGGGCGGTTGGTGATGGAGCCGCCCCTACAATGACGTGCTCGGGAGCCTAGAGACTAGCCGCCCCTACAAATGGAACAACAGGGGTGGCTGGTCATACAAGCCGCCCCTACAAATGGGTCGGATTTGTAGGGGCGGCTCACTCACCAGCCGCCCCTAGTATTGCTATTTGTAGGGGCGGCTGGTGATGGAGCCGCCCCTACAAATGCCCGAGTATAAAATCCTCTGATTTGTAGGGGCAGCTCAATCACCAGCCGCCCCTGCAAATGACCCACATATAAAAGCAAACTGCAGCATCTTCTTTCTCCTCGGGTCACTCACTCCAACCCGTGAAAGAATGGTGGTGAGGCCTTGGGCACCTCCCAAAAATTGTTCTACTAAGGGGAGAAGGTTTTGGTCTCAAATCCTTTGGTGGAGAGGTTGTAGACGGTAAGAAAATATTATTCCACACTTTTTTTAAGTTTTAATAGTTGGTTAGTGAGTAATTAGAGTTTTGCTTTTCTTTCTCTTCTATGGTGCTTAAGCTACTTATGAAGCAAATTAGACCCAAGTTTTGAATGTACTGGGGTAAATTAGGGAGGGGAACAAGATCATACTCTTATTTGGTCCATATTTCTTGATGTTAGTGAACAATTAGTTAGTTTTATGGATGTTTCATGTGCATGTAGATCTAGATCTAGGGTTTGATTTTTTATTAATTTTGTTTTTGTAAATTTATGTTTGATGAAATTGGACTATGGTTTGCATGAAAGATATTGGGTAAAATATTAATTGTTGCTAATTATTGTCTTTGAAATTGTTTATTATAATCAATAAATATGTATTTTAATTATTTTTGGATAAATAGGCCATTAATTATTTTTTCCTCTACCATGGTATGTTTGTATGCTTCATTTAATTATATTTGATTTATATTCATATATATCTAAAGTATATACAATTATTCTCAAGTAATTATTAATTTGATTTATTTTTATATATATCTGAATAAGTAGTCATTTAATGTTTGTTTTGTTGTTGTTGTAAAAGATGGAGTACAGGAACTCTTGGATGTATGGTTCATTAAGGTTCAAGGCAGGTTTCCGTGAAGAGGTGGATAAATTTATTGAAGCCACAAAGAAGCATGCAACGACATTGACAGAGAATAAGGATACAACTATTTGTCCCTGTAAAGATTGCAAGAACCGTATGGCATGGACAGATGTGACTATCATCAGATCACATTTGATTATGCGAGGATTTGTTGAGGACTACACAGTGTGGATTCATCATGGTGAAACGGTTATTGTTAACGACGAGGATGAGGAGGAATACGACGATG